TACAGCAGCATGTCTCTTTCCCAGGATGTGTGTTCCAAGACTAGAAAGTTTTCTACATAAAGCTTTTCATCCTGGGTGTGGTAATAGTCTCAGCATTATAATTTCAACCTAATAGTTACAATGCAAAAGATATGTTGCTTTTGACCCCAGTATTCATTAGAAAATTCCATATTCTTCGCTCAAAACTGTGAGGTTGACAAAATGAATTTCTCTACACTGACCTTTTAGAGCCATTTAGTTTAAGCATCTTCTTAGCCAGTGATTTAAAGATTGTCCATGCAATTTTCAAGACACAGGCAATTTAAAAAAACATTAGTCTGACTCATTAGTAGGCACCATAGATGGCCCAGTAACCATAGGAGATGATACTCAGAAAGGACCAACTACTCAACAAGTGGTTGTTTTAGTTTGCCTTGGCTTTACAATGCTTTTTATCTCTTCACTCATTTTGTAGTCTTTCTGCCTTTCTGGCTATTTCAAGGTCAGTACGGGAAACCTAGCTAAGCCATTTTCATCTTGAGACTACATGGTTTTGAAGCTAGACCTCAGTAAGAACCAAAAAAATGCCACAGAAAAGCAGTGAATTCAGTGCAAAGGACCCTCTTATCAGGAGTCAGAAAACCATAGAATGTTCCAGCTGTCTTGCTTGAGCTTATGCGTTGCCCTCCTTGAGCATCAGTCTCCTTGTCTATCAAATGGGGATAGTCATACCAACTTCCACATAGTGAACTGGATTTTCTCATACCTTGCTGGTGAGACTATAAATTTATTTAATGTTTCTTGAATATAATGTGGCTATCTATGTCAAGAGCCCTAAAAATATGCATACCCTTTGACTCAGTAATTCCACTTGTGGAAAATAGTCTGAAATCTGGCAAGGATTTCTACTCAAAATGTTCAGCACAGCATGGTTTATAATAAGGAATATTGAAAACAACCAAAAGTTGCAAAAATATTCCACTGGTAGAATATTATTCAATCATTAAAAATTACGTTTACGTATCCAGTCAGACCTCTAGAACCTAGATCATTTTACAGGAAATAAATAGTTCAAAAAAATGTTTTGTGACACCACAGGGATATAATCAGTAAAATTCAACTTGTGGGAAAGTGTATAGGATGAACAACCAGGTTTCATCAACAAATACATACATTTTCAAAGGGGGTTTAAAAAGGTGGAGGGTAGCTAACAGATTAAAAAGAGACTTAAGTCATATTAACCAGTCACAATGTGTGGTTCTTGTTTGGATTCTAATTTTTTTTAAAAAAAAAGACATTTATGGTACATTTAGAAATTTGAACACCAGTTATTTGATGGTATTAAGGAATGGTGATTTTTAGATGTGATAATGATGTGGTTTTGTTTTTTTAAGTGATTTTTTTTTTAGAGATAGAAATGGAAACATTTACAAAGGAAAAAATATGCCTTGGATTTTCTTAAACTTTATGCAGGATGGATGTGGACAGATGGGATTGGCCATGGATTGATGGTAGTCAGGGCTGTGTGATGAATGCATGGGTATTTGTTATCCTCTTCTGTCAATTTTTTTTAAGGTTTATGTTAACTTTTCAATAATACAGTTTTTAAAGATTTAAAATATAATGGTTAACCAAGATATTTTAATGACATAGAAGGGGCCTAAATTGTCATTGAATGAAATTCAGTATAATGTCAATCATGTGGAGAAAGAATCAAATAGAAAAACATGAAAGGAAAATTATCAAACTGGATTGTCTTTGAAAGGTGAAATTATGGCCAACTTTTTCTACTTATTTTTCTGCTTTTCTTTACTATATAAATTTCTTTGATGAGCCTATGTTACCCTTATAATCAGAAAAAAAAACAAGTTTTCACTCTGGTTAGAACTCTTTTAGAATCTTAGCTTGAAATAACATAAGTAAAACAGCATAGTAAAATGACTTGTGTACCTGGGAAGGTCAAGGTTTGAAGTAGATGCCGAGGTCTAAGTATAGTAATGCATTGCATAATGACTTTTCAGTCAACAACAGACCACATATACAATAGTGGTCCTGTAAGAATACAATACTGTATTTTTACTGTACCCTTTCAATGTTTAGATATACAAATACTTACCATTGTGTTACAGTTGCCTGCATTGTTCCCTGCAGTAACATATTGTATATGTTTGTAGCTTGGGAACATTAGGCTATTACGTATAGCCTAGGTTAGGCTATACTATCTAAGTTTGTATAAGTACACTCTATGATATTTGCACAATGACAAAGTTGCCTAATAATGCAGTTCTCAGAATGCATCCCCATATGCCATTACAGCTCTGTTTCTTTCAGTTCTACTTATCTCTACTTGGCTATATTCTCTAAGCAGATGTTCTCCATGTAACAAGTTGACTACCAGCACCCCCACAGTTACACGTTTTAGTTTAGATATCCCCAGTGGAAAGAGATTTTTCCTATGGTCATATATTAATCCCACAGAAGATGTTGAGTGGTCCTCCCTAGGTTATATACTCATCCTGGAACCAGTCATTATGGCCAAGGTGATGAGTACTTTGTCCTGAAGCACATGCTCACTCCTGGATTAGCAAGAGGGTAGCATCTTTAACAAGGCCCCCAGGACCATATGGAATAGGAGAGGAGAATGTGCTGGGCAGATAAAAACCAAAGCTTTCACAGTCTGCTCCCTAATGGTATTCTTGGGATAATTCATTGGGATGATTAAGATGAAAAACACTTTATTCTATTTTGTTTGCTAATGTGTGTGTGTGCGTGTGTGTATAGACAGGGTCTCACTATGTTGCTCAGGCCAGTCTCAAGCTTCTAGGCTCAAACAGTCCTCCTGCCTAAGCCTCCCAAAGTGCAGGGATTACAATTGTAAGCTACTGTACCCAGTCAAAACACTTGATTTTTTTTTTCTTCAGATGGAGTCTCACTTTGTTGCCCAGGCTGGAGTGCAGTGGCATGATGTTGGCTTACTGCAACTTCGACTTCCTGGGTTCAAGCGATTCTCCTGCCTCAGCCTCCTGAGTAACTGGGACTACAGGTACCAGCCACCATGCCTGGCTAATTTTTGTATGTTTAGTAGAGACAGGGTTTCACCGTATTGGCCAGGCTGGTCTGGAACTCCTGACCTCAAGTGATCCACCTGCCTCGGCCTCCTAACGTCCTGGGATTACAGGTGTGATCCCCCATGTCTGGCTACAGACAAAACACTTTCTAAATCGAAGAGTTCTGTGCAAATGTACAAGCGAGTTTTTAAAAGTCTAATTTTGTTAAATCAGATTGTAATAAGATTCTCAGTGTGTACATATATCAGTCTATCAATTTCCTTTATTAGAAGAGGTCTGGTGGTCATCATTTCATATTTCCCAATTTTAAAACTGTAGGAGTGCTCAGTAGCCCAGGTAGATACATTTTCTAATGTAAAAGATGAAAGGAGGCATTATTTTGTGTCTTCAAAGTAGTAAACTTGGAATGGCTCTAAACATGAATTACTCCTCAGTTTCTCCTTCCTTTTACAAAAACCTGTGTTGTTAAATGAATAGTGGTGGGGCCTGTAGTGCACTTACACACCAAAACCTCAATTCCTTTGTGTATATCTCTGAAGGTAACATGTTGATTTGCAGAACTGCTATATTTGCAGTCCTACCCTTCTCATACATGTCAGTGCAGTAGCATTGAATTCTAGGCCAAGGTTGATTTATCTACAAGGTCTTTTATGGTCTTAAAATATTCTTTTCAATGATTGCTGCTCTGTGGATTAATAAAAGAGTTACTATTGTCAGTCCAGTTTACAAACAGCTCTAGAAAACTGTTTTTTGTACTGAAAAGATGGAAATTATTTCTTAAATGTTATTGTCAACTCTCAGGACTGGTACTTTTCAATAAAAGCAATTAGATTCTCACTGTTTGTTATGCTGTTAATGGTGATGGAGTCTTTAAAAATAGGGAACCTACAACTGGCTTTAGAAGTTTAAGTTGTGGCCAGGCATGGTGGCCCATGCCTATAATTGTAGCACTTTGGGAGGCCAAGGCAGGAGGATCACTTCAGGCCAGAAGTTCAAGAAGAGCCTCGTCAGTATAGCAAAACCCCATTTCTACAAATAAAAAATAAAAAATTAACTGGGTGTGGTGGTACACAGGTGTAGTCCCAACTACTTTCGAGACTGAGGCAGGAAGATCTCTTGAACCCAGGAGGTCAGAGTTGTAGTGAGCTATGATCATGCCTCTGCACTCCAGCCTGGGTGACACAGTGAGACCCTGTCTCTAAAAAAAGAAAAAAAAGTAGTAACAAGGGTGTCTGGGTTGAATCATTGTACTATATCTTCTAAATCTTGTATTGGGGCTCCCTAGTAGTTTAAAAAGGAACGCTTTTTAAGAGCATAAAGGGGCCAGGCGCGGTGGCTCAAGCCTGTAATCCCAGCACTTTGGGAGGCCGAGACGGGCGGATCACGAGGTCAGGAGATCGAGACCATCCTGGCTAACACAGTGAAACCCCGTCTCTATTAAAAATACAAAAAACTAGCCGGGCGAGGTGGCGGGCGCCTGTAATCCCAGCTACTCGGGAGGCTGAGGCAGGAGAATGGCGTAAACCTGGGAGGTGGAGCTTGCAGTGAGCTGAGATCCGGCCACTGCACTCCAGCCCGGGCGACAAAGCAAGACTCTGTCTCAGAAAATAAATAAATAAATAAAAGAGCATAAACGTCATTATAAATCATTTCACTTGTTGTTAGACTCTTCAAACCAGTAAGAATGACTAGACAATCATTTTCATTCATTTTTTCTTGAAAAATAATATTCAAATAACCAAAAGAAAGAAGAGAGAAAAAAATACTTACAGAAAGAGCTGATTATTCAGGAGTAAATCTAAGGAAATTCTTACTTGGGATGCTTTACTCAAACTTGTGTTGTGTCTGCTTGTTTGAGGGGTCCAAGCCTGTGTATTGTAAGATTCATCACTGAAGGTGAAGATGTTGCTGGCCTATTCAGATTGGTAACATGCATTTCTCCCCCACATCTAGCTACGTGGTGAACATGGGTCTGATTGACAAACTGTGTGCCTGCTTCCTCTCGGTGCAAGGCCCAGTGGATGAGAATCCCAAGATGGCCACATTTCTGCAGCATGCCACAGGACTCTTACATGCAATGTGCACATTGTGCTTTGCTGTCACTGGAAGGTAAGGCATCTACTTGATCTCAATCTAGACTCAACTTTTGGAACATCTCCTGAATTTTGCCCATTCTAGGGTCATTTCATAGGATTTCAAGTGGTCATCTTGGCCATCTTTCCTCTTTGTTCTTTCCCCATCATTGGCTTTCTATATTGAGATGTATATTACTTTCTCATTTTTCTGGGCCACATACTCTTGCCAGTCTTTTTTTCTTGTTGGTGTCATAAATTTGACTATCATTGCTGGAAGAGACCTAAGAGGTCATCCAGTCCCTCTTCCACTGAGATCCAGAGGAGTCCAGTGATTCTCCTTCAGTCATTGAAGGAAGCAAAGCCTAGACCAGAACAAGCCAAGCCCTCAGCCCTACAGAGCGTAGCCTGAAAGTGCTCATTACCATCATTCATGTGCTTTCCGTTATAGGCTCCTTGGTTTATTTATTTTCACTCTGTCCCTTCTTCTAGAGTACTTCCATGAATAAGGGAAGGGAGCCATCTAAAACAATAGGTCCCTGAAGTCACACATGACCCATGGGCATTGTGAAAGCCAGTGTACCAGGGACTACTACTGGCCTGGTTGGCTATTTAGACTACCCCATCCCATCCTACCCCATCCCACCCTGTGGACTGTCCTCAGAAACAATAATTCTCTAGGAAGGACACAAGTAACCCTCTGGGTCTTCTTTTCTTCTCCCCAACCCATCCCTCACCAAGTAAGAATCGTTGATCATAGTGCCTCCATTTTTCTGATAGGAATATGACATATCCCTTAGGCATATTGAGGATATTCAATCAAATTTCTTATAATTAATTCTAAACAGCACATATGTGTTACCTATTTTTTAATTATGTGTTTTGTATTTTTAAGAATTTGTCAATTTGAAGCTTCTAAAGTCAAGCTTCTTAAGGAAATATTATCCATCTACATTCAATGTTCACAGAATACCAGTAACTATATTCAGAACATTTTAAGAGAGGGAAACTGTATTCTGAAATGAACATCCTCAACATTTTTTAGTTCATTATACATAGGACCCCTAAGCCCACCTATCCTTCCTTACTCTTACCCAGTCCCTCACCACCAGTCACATTCTAATAAAATTAAGACTGTCTAGAGAAGTCAGCAAAGCCAAGCATGCCTGTATTCAGTGTTCCAAGTTAGTCTCTTCCCATCAAGAAATGTAGACCAAGCCTACCTTCAGTGAGAGCTCAGGAAGTGACTGTTTGTGGGTCTGTGACCTAAGTAGGATCCAGTAGTAGCATGCTACACAGAGGCTGGCATACCAAACACTGTCCATCTGGAACAGTGGCATCTGCCAGCTTGGAGGCCACCATGCTGCCCAGCTAGTTACTGTGCAATGGCCAGGCCCCTCGCTGGAGGTCTCCTCTCAGGCAGGAGACCTGTGCTGACCTTGTCTTTTCTTGAACACATAGCATTACATTATAAACCTGCCAGCATCTCAAGTCTGCGTCACCTGTATTTTGTTGAATCCAGATCAATATCACAAACATAAGCGTTTCCATATGTGATTGCTGTACAGTCTGTGGGCTTCAGCTTTCACTTTCACACAGATTCAGTCACTTGAAATCTATGGAATTTAAAAGAAACCTAAAGGTCATTCACCATCACTTGTTTTTTGTAGGAAAAGCAACTGAGCCAAACTGACTTGAATCAGGACCTGAGATTTCTAGCTTGGTGCTCCTTCCACTTGACTTTATATGCTTCAGGATGTAGGAGCATATATTTCGTTTCTTTGAAAATTTTCTCAATTACATATGGAAGATGGAAATAGGATCTTCTTCTCTTTAATGCACACAGTCATGCTCTTGTTCTCAAGACACTGAGCATCTGTCCTGTGCCAAACACCAAGTTAGGTAGGTAATAAAGATACTACCCTCAGGGAGCCAAGAATCTAGTGTGAGGTCAGACTTATAAAGTAATAGTTATAGCAGAAGAGAATTTGCACAGAAGAGGAAGTAAAGCACTTACAGAGGAGGTCAAAAAAGGCATCCATAGGCAGAATCCAAGAAAAGTGGAAGGAAAAATCAATTGAGAAAAAGGACATGATATGTACATTATGTGGTATACCAGATGTTATTGGTGCCTTTGGTTCACCTGGAGGTCATCTGCCAATGGCTTTCTATATTTCTCTGCCTCAGGACGTTCTCTGCACAAGGAGCTATTTGCTAGAATGCAGAGGAGTTTAACGCCTCCAGTAGTGACCCTCAAACAATAAATTGGTGGATAATACCCCCACCTCCCTAATGTTCAGTAGTACAATTCTGAGTATATTCTGTACAGTTCTCACAGGATCCTCAGCCCTAACCTGTTTTTTGTTTGTTTGTTTGTTTGTTTTGTTTTTGAGACTGAATCTTATTCTGTCGCCCAGACTGGAGTATAGTGGCACTATCTCAGCTCACTGCAACTTCTGCCTCCCATATTCAAGCAATTCTCCTGCCTCAGCCAGCTGAGTAGCTGGGATTACAGGCACAGGCCACCACTCCGGCTAATTTTGGTATTTTTAGTAGAGATGGGGTTTCACCATGTTGGCCAGTCTGGTCTCAAACTCCTGACCTCAAGTGCTCCATCACCTTGGCCTCCCAAAGTGCTAGGCACACCTGGCCCATAACCTGTTCTTTAACACATCCTTGATTTAGTTTTCTCCCTCCCCTGTTTCTCTTCTCTTCATCCTCACAATAATCTATTTGCACCCATATTATTTTTTCAGGATCTGCTTTTAGGGCAGCCCAAACCAAGAGATATGGACATACAAGACTTAGTGTCATGTTTAGTTTGATGTAGCTGTGCAGTTGGGCAACTGGGGAGAGCAGCAGGACATGAGATATTAAATGAGCTCCATAAATGTTAGTTCTTGGGAGGTGCAAAGGGCTACAAGAGCTAGACTAGAGCTGTCGAAGGCTGCTAAAGTTGCTTGAGAGGGAGGACAGGATCAAATTTCTGTTACAGAATGATCACTCCTACTAAGAAACATAGAGATAACTGGAATGGCACAAGCCTAGAGGCAGAAGGATTAGTAAAGAGGCTCTTGCATAATCCAAGTGAGACATGTTGAGGGCCAGTAAGGTCAATGAAAATAGAGATGAGCAAATACATTACGAGGGAGTAGAACAAATGTAGGGGAGATGGCATAGGGTTTCATGGTGTGGGGGTGAAAGGAAGGGAAGCATCTAGAATGACTCCCAGGTTTCTAACTATAAAATTTTGAATGGTAGATAGCAGTCTCCAAATTAGGAAATATTTATAAACAGTTTTTCATAGTGGAAATATGAGTTTGGTCCTAGACATGTGTAAGGGTTATTATATATGATACAAGATTATCATATACATATACATACATGTATATGTATAAACTTTGGTCTACTTGGATAATCTTTAGGCATGCCTAGGACCAAACTTATATTTCCACTAAGAAAAACTGCTTATATTCTCAAACTTGGAGACTATACTGTCTACCACTCAAAATTTTATATTTATTATATATTTATACATCCGATAAATTATGTTTACACATCTGATACATTTTATTTAAAATTTTTAATTACTATATAATTTATTTTATTATGTATATGAAATATAGTTCCTTCTATGTACACATACAACTGGATTTTAAACAGTGATTTACTCTTGATCGTTTTTAAGAATTCTTAATCTGTTTTTCTCCATTATAATTTCCTTCTCTAACCTCAATTGCTTAGCAAACTTCTATTGTTAGGACTTACTACAAAAACAGATTATTCTAGAAAGAAAGTCCAGGTGGTTTCCTGGCTTAATTTACCTAGGAAATTCTTTGCAATATCAGTGTAAGCTGCTTCTCTGAAAGACTTGAGAAAAATGACCCCTCATTGTTGTTCTTCCTCTCAGCCTTCAGTCTCCCAACATTTCCTGAACACCACCAGACCACAGGTATACAGGGAGTTTTTTCTACCTCCTCAGATTCGTTTACTTCTGATATTTACAGATTGTTTTCTCCTGCTTATTTCTTCATGAAAAGTGTATTTCTAAACTATAAATCACAGTGATAAGCATTTTGTTGCATGCGTTAAATAGAGTTTCTGCTGTAGGTCATAGGCATGTCCAAGAGGAAAGGTAGTGTGGTTTTTGCTTTATTGGAGTAATTCACGTAATGTCTATTTTGGCTACCAGAAGCTAACCAGAGCCAGAGTCAAGGAAGGCTTTGTCCTCATAGCCCTTTTGTGACAGGAATGAAAGAGGAAGAGGAGCTAGAGAGGGCTTCAAAAATTGCCTCTTGTGATGGCAGAGCCTGAGATAATTAAGGGGACTAATTGATAGCACTGGGCTTTGAGTAAACACTGCAGTCTGCCGGTGGCCCAGCCTTTGTGATGGTGATTACTGCTAGTCTGCCTTTGCAATACTCTCCTATTGTGCCCTTAATCTTCTAATTTTTACCTAGGTTTTCTTTTTTCTTTCTTTTCTTTTTTTTTTTTTTTTTTTTTGAGACAGAGTCTCGCTCTGTCGCCCAGGCTGGAGTGCAGTGGTGCCATCTCAGCTCACTGCAACCTCTGCCTCCTTTGTTCAATGTATTCTCCTGCCTCAGCCTCCCAAATAGCCGGGATTACAGGAGCTTGCCACCATGCCTGGCTAATTTTTGTATTTTTAGTAGAGATGAGGTTTCACCATGTTGGCCAGGCTGGTCTCGAACTCCTGACCTCAGGTGATCCACCCACCTCGGCCTCCCAAAGTGTTAGGATTACAGGCCTGAGCCACCTCACCCAGCCAAATTTTTACCTAAGTTTTCCAAAACACATTTTGGACGTCAGAATTTGTGCTGTTAGTCTTTGCTTCAATTTGTGATAGAAAAGCAATAGCTGATGACTTGTATCAGGTTTAGTTTTGAAAAATGAACTTGAATTTCTTTAAGTAAAAGTTGAAATTCTGATCCTCTGATGAAAGGATTGATTTTATGTCAGAATTGCTCCAGAATTTTAATATTGTTAAAAATTATTATTAATCACTTAAGCAAAATTCAA